TGGATAAGTTATCATCCATGCTCGAATCACTAGACCACAATGCACAGTGCTCGGAGGACGTTTCTCTGCTCAAACTAGCGCAAACTTGGCGCATTATCAAATTTGCTGTCGTCCAAGAGCTCGAGTCCAGAGCTAGAGAGCAGCGTCGCAACTTAGACAAAGGGCCTCGCACCATGAAGAAAAAATCATCCAAGGAGGGTCCTGTTTCTGAGAAACCACGGGTGGTCGAAGATGGGAGACAGGACAAATTGAAAACCAGGATGTTCAAGGGGGTGGTGGAAAACGAAACATTGAAGCTTCCACTAACAGACTCTGAAAGCGCGTCAAATATGACGACGCCTCTCGCGCAGCCATTGCCTGACTCCCCTCTTGGGTCTTTGGACAGCTCGACTTCGCACATGACATCTTTGAATGATAACACGGAAATGAAGCCTCTTCCACCGTCGGTTCTCAGCTCTAATCAGGGCACCATGACGTCGAATGATTGGTCATCGATGTCAGATATTGATCCACAGCCAGTCCATCAATTACAGCATCGTCAATCTGATGCAAGTGAAGATGCCCCTATCCCACCTGACAGTCTGCCCTCCGAGCCAGGACCTGCTCCGGTGCTTCAAGATAACGGGGAAGACCAAAGATCTGCACCTCGAGCCATCTCTGGCAGAACAGATTGGCATTTGGGCGCTTCAAAGGGGACTTCTGAGGTAGACGAATACGACCAGAAACTGGAGGACAAGAAAGCAGCTATTCGCGACTATAGGACCTTTCCCAAGAAGGTTCTCTCATTAGAATCTCCTATGGTGCCTATTAAACCGCCTGGTTTCCACCGGCATGAGTCCTCGGAGAGCTTCCCCATGTTCTCAGCCTCAACAGAGAGCTCCCATCCGTCCAAATCAATGGCCACATCGTTATCTTCAGCAGCGAAACTGTATGAGGCTCGCGAGGACGGAGATGTTGACCAGGAAGCGGCTACTGCAGAGCCTGGTAACAGCTATACTGAAGTCAAGGCGTCAGTCCCAAGGGCTATTCCTGTAATTGACAAAGCTACTCAGGGTTGTGAGACATCAGAAAGTATTCCTGATTCAGAGCATATACACCTCGAGCGACCGTCTAGTCCCCCTACTCTTCTGAAAGAGAGTCGGCCTCTGAATGCTCCAGGTCAAGAAGATGAAGATCCAGTGCAGAACGACTTGACAGCCAGTGGAGGAACTAGTGAGTTGATTGGTGTGACTGTCCCCGTCAGCCCTGACGTGACAACGAACAAGCCCTGGAGCGTTGAAATGCTTTTCAAAGAAGCAATTCGACACTACCATAGTGGAAACCACGTGGACATCCAGTCTGCTGCACACTTACTGCAGAAGCTACGAATTCTTTTCAAGGACTGCGAGAAGATTCTTCCCGACGACGAGGCGGAATACATATTCAGAGCTTACAACGAGCAGTTGGTGCGCCAGTCAATGTACATCGAAGCTGCCGAGCTTCGACTTTTATGTGTCCCGTCTTACCCAGCAGTCTACGAATACGCCCAGGGGGACACATTCATGAACGTGTTTTGTTTCACATGCAAACGTCCTTACGAAAACCCAAAGACCGATAATACGCGTTGTCATCGCTGTAACACTCCTCAGGAGCCATGCGCCATATGCATGAGCCTTGACCCGCCACCTGAGTGGGTTGCAGAGCTCTCAAATGCATCCGCCCATTCAACTCCAGAACTGACCTCCGAGGCCGCATCACACGCACTTTCATCATCACATTCTTCACTGAAAACCGAACCCATTCCCCAGAGTGAATTACAGCGTCTCGACACTCTTCTCTCCGATCCATCGCAGCACCCTCGACCCAAAGGATCCACTCTCTGGACTTGGTGCCAAGGCTGCGGCCACGGGGGCCACTTGGCTTGCATAAGCACATGGTTAAACGATATCTCCATCAGCGAAGGTGGTTGTGCTACCCCAGGATGCATGCATGATTGCGGCCCTGGCCCGCGTCGCGAACACAACCGCTCCATCCTGCTAGAGGAATCGAAGAGACGTGACACTGCCGGCCGAAAAGCCGGTGTAGGCTTCATCAAACGAGACACATGGACGAAAGGAGAAAGCAGAGCCGTCGAGAAAGTTCGCGGCATGCTAGGCGTCGGTGCATCAGCCGGGAGCGCTTCCACAACAGCTACCACCGCAACAAGTGGTGGGCCTAGCGGGGCTTCCACTAGCACAATGTCACCCAAAAAGGTGCGATTGATAACGCCCAGTGAGCAGGGTCAACCGCGTCGAAGTGGTCCGCGAACTAGTCTTGGAGGCATGAGTGGGCTTAGCGGCTAAGTCAAGGCACGCACCTTTTGGTTCTCCCTATCTAGATGTGATTTATTGCAAGGGATCCGGATGATTTTTTTTTTTTTTTTCTTTTCTTCTCTTTATGTTTGTTCAGCCTGCTATTTTGCGCTTTTGCAGATACCCGATCGTTGTCGGTTCTGGCGTCTCCGGGTGAAGTCTAGATTGCGCGGCGCCCTTGGTATGTCTGATAGCGCGTGGTTGATGATGTGGTGGTCTGTGTGTATGTGTGTGCTACTTGGAATCAATGTGACATACTAGATGCTGTTTCAATACGACAATGAAATTTCCTCCACCTTTTTTGTCCATCTCAGCTACTCAAGGAACTATTAGGAAAAACCTACATATAGCGAGCGCTTCTCTGTCTCTTGCTCCCCAACCACAACATGTACAGCAAGCAGGCAATATGTCCAGAAATCATCCCCCTATATCCATCATACCGGCCACAATATGTAATATTGACCAGATCTCTCCCCTTCTCTCTAAGATCGATCGATCGACTTGGTATGTACAATCATCGCCATCCTAAAGTCCTCGAGGTCTATGCAAGAACCTCCCTTGGAACTGCTGTCCAAAGAGACAACCACCATCCTATCCGTCTTCTGGTAAAGAGATAGCTCCAGCACTAAAGAAGCTTAGAGCTTAGAACTTCCGCTTCTTCTTCACAGGCGCCTTGCTCTTCGCTTCAAGCTGTCTCTTCAGCTCTTCACGCTTCCTGTCCGCTTTCTCCTCTTCTGTTTCTTCTTTCTCCGGCTCCGCGGGTTGATCGTCCAGAGCCGGTGCAGGAGAGGGAGGTCCTGAGGACTGCGTTGCGGTAGCTGCTGGCGACGATGTGGGTTGGTTTTCTCTCTTTCGGCCGCCTATTACACCCAGACCGTGGGACTTGGCCTGTGGCTTGCTCGATGATTCGGCTTCTGGTGGCGGCGATGATGGTGGGGAGGCTTGCCTTGCTTTGCCCTTGCCACCTATGACGCCGAGCCCGCGGGGTTTTGTCTGGGGTTTACTGGAGGATTCGGGTATCGGTGATGATGGTGGAGAGGCTTGTTTTTCGGCTTTCTTGCCACCTATCATTCCTATGCCGCGGGCTTTTGTTTGACGGGTTGAGGGCGGCGGTGAGGGTGATGGAGAGGGATGATTGTCGTTGTTGTTGTCGTCGTCTGTTTCGGAGGCTGTTTGGTCGCTATCTGCTTGGGGTACGGGAGCCTTGCGAGTTGGTACCCTCTCGTCGACATCTGCTGATGCTGGTGATGTCTGGGGGGACTCTGGTTGCGTTGGTTGCTTTCTGTTGCCTCCAATTGTTGCAAGGCCTCTGGAAGTGAGTTGTGGTGCTCGAGGCCTCGCTGTACTTGGTCCCCCATTCCGATCTTCAAGGTCGTCTTCGCTTTCTGTCGCTGTTCCCTCATCTGGCCCCGAAGGGGGAGTTTGGTGGTTTGGCTGAAGTCTGAGTCTCGGAGGGGTCTCTTGTCGCTGAAATGTACTTGTGAATAAACGGCAATGCATTATGTGGGAAAGGTACGTACCTCAAACTCATCATCGTCATCGTCATCGTCAAAATCATCTTCAGTCTCCAAACCTCCGTCCGTAGTGTCCATATTTGTCGAGTCCTCTGGAGTCCTGGCATCTACGTCTTCGGTGTTATTGTTAGCTGTGGACATTTTTCTCCACCATCCATCTGACGGCGCCGTTAAATCCTCGAGTAGCAGAAGATTATCATCAATATTGGAATCTTCTGTTTCTTCCAGAATGGAGGACGCAAATCCAGTCTCGGCTGTTATCGCGTTGTTCTCATCGAGCCAGGATTCCTCATCAAAAGGCCTCGCTCCAGTGATATACTTGGCAGCCTGTGATTGCGCTGAACCTTTGTGGCTGGTCCTGAGTCCGGGGATACTAGGGAAGATAGTGCTGAGATCAAACCCGACGGCTTCAAGCTTATCGAATAGCTTTGACAGCAGCCAATCTTTCTTCTTAACCACTTCGATTAGATCCCGCTGGCGCAACTCCAAATAAGCCTCAGACTTGATCAGCGGAATAAGCAGCTGAGTAGTTGAAAAGCGCTGTTTCTCCCTCGCCATATAGAAATTCCATTTCAAAGGCTCAAGTGGGGCCGGTAGGCTTGTTGTGGTGATCAGGTGTAGAGTATCATTCTCCCGTCCACGCCTTAGCACCGTGCTGGTTCCCGGATCATTGCGTAGGGCCTCCCCTAGTTTCTCCAAAAGAATATTGAACTGATCTATGTCTTGGCTGGGGTCAATGGTCGCATCACCTTCAACAGCTCTTCCCAGAATATGCTGGCGGTTAGGACGCTCGGACCAAATATACGTGAGATCGGTCAGGTACAACTCATATCCATCTCTGAAAAGGGTGTATCTATAAAGGAGAAGTGGTGCAGGCGCACGATTTGATATGTGCAACTTCTCCCACCTCGCAGACATCTCTCGAGTGTCGCTTGCGGGTGTTTTGATGGGTGGTTCCAGAGTAGTTAGATGGAAAGGTGTGGGAAGCTCCTCCAAGGCTCCCTCCCGCGGTGGATCACATGGAGCCGCTCGGGGCACGTGGCCATTAGGGAAACTTTGCCGGTCGCTATACCTCCCATTCTTGGCGCGCGACCACCCGTTTCTCCAGAAAGCTTGGAGGAAACTATGTCAGACCTCACGATTCTAGGTCTCTTCGCATCCATCTTTGAAATAGTTCACAATTGATTTCTCGTTATTCACTGATACATTTGTGCCTTCCGGAAAGCATATTGAAAACGCGCCAAAATGTCATATCGAATGCCCGATCGCACGGGTTCGAAGCGAAGTCGGTCTCGATCGCCCTCCTCTCGCCATTCCCAAAAAGCCCCGCGCAGATATGACGAAACGGATCGATATCGCGATAGGAGGGATGGAGATGAGCGGTCGTCACAAAATCGACCTCGGAACATGAGGGATCAGGTCCGGCTCAACCAGCTTCAGGAAGACGAGCAAGTGCGTGAATGGGTGGCGCAAGAGGACATTTTCGTTCTCAAGCAGGCGAAAAAGAAGGCAGAGATCAGAGTGAAGGAAGGTCGAGCAAAGCCGATTGACTGGCTCACTGTCACATTACGGGTGATTGATCCAACGAGGAACCCCCTTGACGATGAGATTGCGGACTCGGAGCTCGATGTAGTAGATCCGGATGGTGTATTTGAGGGACTATCCCCCGACCAGCTACTCGACTTGGAAAAGGATATCGAAACATTTTTAAGTCTTGAGAAGAATTCGCAAAATAGGGATTTCTGGAAGGTATGGTTCTTGTGTTAAGCATGCCATTCGGGCTACAGGCTAATTTATCGTCCTTATTGCAGACCATGAAAGTGATTTGTCGAGACCGTCAGAAGACCACCGCCCCCGAAGGACGTGCACTTAGCTCTGTGTCTGCAGATATAAACAGATTATTGAGCCCTAAGTCTTACGAACAGCTACAAACACTTGAGATACAGGTCAGGAAAAAGCTGGACTCAAACGAGCCTATCGATACCGACTACTGGGAGGAGCTTTTGCGCAGCCTTACTGTTTGGAAGGCTCGGGCGAAGCTGAAGAAGGTCTACCAAGCCGTTATAGACGAGAGAGTTCGAGGATTGCGTAAACAGCAGTCTGAAGAAGCTGCGTCTGTGCAGGCGAAGCTGGCCCCTCTGGCGCCTATTATCCAAGCAGCCTCAGATGCGGTCGATAGCGGAGAATATCGTGAACTCGACCCTGACCCATTGCTTCAGATCCGACCGGAAGATAAGGTCTTGGAGATAGTGGACGAAGATGCATTCCTTAACCAAGTGGTAGGCTACACTCACTACTGCCCAACGTTGCCGGGACTGACTCTTTGTAGGCCCGCGACCGACAGAAGATTTTGAAGATGGGATATGTTCCTCTCCGTCAACGGCAGGCGGAAAAGCCATCGGTGCTTCCCATAAATCAAGCAACGACCGCTCCAATTGCCACAGCCTCGACGCGATTCTCTTCGATTCCTAACGAAGACTTCTCGCAGGCAACCAAGGCGCTCTATGAGCGAGAGTTGGCCAAGGGAGTCAGTGAAAACGAGGAGATATTTACCGGTGAGGAAGCTGTGAGCACAACTTCTCAGCCAGGATGGGCGAGCAAACACCGGCCCCGCAAACCACGCTACTTTAACCGTGTTCAAATGGGTTATGAGTGGAACAAATACAATCAGACTCATTATGACCATGATAACCCGCCCCCGAAAGTTGTGCAAGGGTACAAGTTCAATATTTTCTACCCTGATTTGATCGACAAGACAAAAGCACCGACCTACCGCATCGAACGAGAGCATGGACGAAAGCGGGGACAATCCTTTGCAGCGGCTGGGGAGGAGGATACTTGTTTAATTCGCTTTATGGCCGGTCCGCCGTACGAGGACATTGCCTTTCGGATCGTCGATAAGGAATGGGATTACAGTGCAAAGAGGGAAAGAGGGTTCAAGAGCACATTTGATAAGGTATGTCTAAGAAACAAGCAAATCGGTCAAAAAGAGACTAACAGGATTGTAGGGAATTTTGCAACTACACTTCCAATTCAAACGAGTAAGTACCCTCTGTCGCTCAGGTCGTGACATCTGGCATATACTAACAATATTCCCAGATTTATTACCGGAAGTAACGGTTGTTGCTCGAAGGATTCGTACTGGACCACAATGATGTACAGTGTTGTTGGATGGGATGGGACTGACGATCTTGAAGGTTCCACCACGCTCGGGATCCGTCGTCGGTCACCGTCCCGCCTACCGCAAAGGCCAATTCTATTGGGCTGGAAACTTTAACCTCCTCCTACGGCATTGGATCCCATCTCGGCCAAGCTAGGATATATCATATTGACATGAAACCAACGTTATCGGACGTCGCAGATCCAAGTTTCCACATGTGCGTAGCGGGCCATGCTTATTTGAACCGCATTCCCTCATCTTTCGCCCATTGTTCCTTGCGATCTCTAATTATCCCGCTCCGTGGGACTCACCACCTTTCCCAACTTTTCCAATGAGTAGTCTCGACATCTGGGGACTGTCGACCGGCCGATCAAATGGACCTAAATGCTATAAATCTTTAATTTTATTTCTAAATAGCCTGGTCTGGCTTGATTCGCATTGCCTCCACGGACGAAGGAAAGGCCGCAACCATGGTGCGGCTTTTCCATAATGTCAAACTATGCCATCCTGCTGCATGTTCCTCTCAGGGTTCTGGCTGGTCGGGGAATCGGGAATAGGTTGGAGTATCTGCAGGAAATTACTCTTTACTTAGTCTTCTGATTTTCTCGAGTGCTGATGGCTCTTGCTAGGAAAAGAGCCCAATGGCAAGTCCCCTGGAGTTCTGCACCCGCCCTTTGTTCAGTCGGTCGTGGTTAGCGCAATAATGGCAGGCTCTCTGCAGGTGGCCGCCATTCAGAAAGCTACCCACTCCAACCCCCGTCGGTCCAGTGTTGTAATAGTCCACCAAAGTACGATCATGACAGCCCCCCTGTAAGCACCAGTTTCGTTCGCTTTTTGGGCCCACTGAGTTCATTGGCCATACCCGCACCGCTAGATCGCTGTTCCACAACCTGATGGCGATTCCCGCGGTAGAAACGAAGCTGCTCCGGCCAGAACCTCCCCCAGAGCACATGCTGGGGACAACAGAGAGGCCTTTCTGTATATTTTCCCTGTTTTCTTGGTCTAGTTGATTTTCTTTTTTTTTTTTTTCCCTTTAATCTTTGTCCAATTTTATTTTATTTTATTTTGCTTTCCATTCTCATATGTTTTCTTTCCCTTTCTTTTATTTCTCTTTCTGATAATGCCATATCCTTTTCGTTCCCGGGTCATATTTCACCAGGTTTCCCGAATTTCGTTTCTTTTGCTGCTTCTGGGGTTCGTCGGGCAAATCTGCCTCCAACATATACATAGAGCCACGGTTGTTTGTCAGGGAAATGCATCGTGCTGGCTGGCTTCGTGCAGCAAGGAAGGAGGCGCAAGAAACAAAAAAAGAAAAGAAAAGGGAAGAATATCTCATGAGCTGGCATTTCTTCGGCCGCACAGCTCCCAGTGAACTATAGAGTCTCCTCGTCCTGAGTGGTCACACGTTTTTTTATATTTATTTTCTAGCCAGCCCCTCTTGCTTGACCTCCCCTTCTCACAGGGCTTTCTTCACCTACCTGGCACGTTTTGTGTACCCTCGCTTCCATCTCTTACTCTTATCCTCCTTGTATTAATCTCCAGGCGCTACCTTGTCAGGCCAGAGCTTCTGAAACGGATTGCGACAAGTTTGATTCTTTGTGAGGACGACATGGATCGTTTCTACCCCCCTCATGGCTTACCCTCGGATTCAATTCCATTTGGCCGTGGGCTTGGTGATTTTACCAGACAAACAGAGACCCCTCCCACTTCCGTCTCGGATGGCGTTCGTTTGGACCCTTCTCACCATCGTGATCCCTGTTCGGCAATCGGGAACTGGGCGTGTTCCAACTCTGCAAGCCCTGGAGAGCCGATGTTACTGTCTCCTCAGCACCATTATCCATGGAAGATGGCACTGCCCCCATCACTTCCAGCTCCGACCTCTCTACCGGAACGAGCGTTGCCTCGTTTACTGCCATCTCATCGTCTTGAGACACCTGCCAGACCATCCTCGTTAGCGGCAGCTGGTGGCTCCAGGACAAGGCAACTTAAGCCCGGACTACGGCGCCTCGATGACAGCAAAGCACCATCAGACTGGCTACGTGAGCCAGGTTCCATCTCCTCATGCTCGCATGAGTCTCCTTCTTCTTATCGCACTTCATCGGGGATGTCACGGTCAGATGTTTGTGAAACGGCCTGTCCTACAGCGAGCTTGCCACCACCGTCACCGGCAATCTCGGCGTTAACCTACCCTTCGCTGAAGCTGGAAACGCCGGACTCTCCCGACAGTATTGATGATAAACCTTATTCTAAGCTTATCGAAATGGCCCTCAAGACCAATCCGGATAAGAAGCTTTCCCTTCAAGGGATATACAACTGGTTCGAACAAAACACGGCAAAGGGGAGAGATCTCAGCTCGAAAGGCTGGCAAAACAGTGTACGGCACAACTTGTCCATGAACGCAGTGAGTCCGCCTGATCTCCTCTCCCCTAATCCTTATCCTTGCTTCATTGTTTGTTACTGTATACTAAGACACGCTACCATACTATAGGGATTTGAGGCAGTCCGGGAAGAACCGATACCCGGAAAGAAAGCTGTGAATTACTGGCGCCTAACTAATGAAGCCATCAAGAATGGCGTCCAATCCACCACTCGGTACCGGAAGCAGGCGAGTTACAGAAAGGCCTTGGGCTCGGACCCACCGGCGCCTCAACGCCAGCGATCTGGGGCTAAGGGAGGGAAAGCTACTAAAATCAAATCAAAGTTTCGAGGGCGGATGAGCGAGGAAGAGTTGCCCAAAGGCCGATACCATCCCCGGGTGACATCACAACCGCGACCGACGAAGAATGTGTTCACGCATTACAATACCACTGCGGGAACATTGACCGGGATCACAATAATGTCACCCTTCCAAGTCTCCGGACTGACCCCGTCGGGGACTCGCTTATCCAGCGAGCCATTCGATTTGGGAAGCGTTGTTGGCTGCGCAGATCCCGCTCCATGTCCTCCCCTTTTTTGCGACATGGCGGGACCAGGGCCCGACTGTGTAGCGTTGGACTCTGGCTTTCTCGGCTGGGGAGCGGCTGTCCACTCATTTCCTACTGGCTTACTGGGTGGCCCCGGAATCTCCACGGATCTCCAGATGGGAGTATAGCATGAGCTCGGTGCAACAACACTAGATCGATAGAAAGATTTTGGCTGACTTGCATATTTGGGTGTATTGTACGACTTGATTGATAGCCTTGTCTTGGCTTGGGTTTTGGGCGATGCATTGTCCCGTACATCTTCCTCTCTTTTATTATATTTTTCTTTATTATTATCACTATTACTACCCCAGCTCGATCCAAATCTCATTTTCTTATTCATCTGGCTTCGGTCTATTAATTTACATGTAAACTCGTTACTGTTTTCCTCTTACATACCCTGGGTCCAAGTAATAATGTGCCATTCTTCATTGGTCATGAACACGAATAGTCCGCGGTGGGCCTCATATCAAGAGTACGAAATGCGAAGAGATGTGGCGCTAAAATCTCTCAACCTTTTGCTTTTCTTCTTCTTATTATTATTATATATTTTTACTTCATTTATTTCCTATTTTTTTTTTTTTTTTTTTTTTTTTTTGGTTTCTCACTAAGACATTCCGAGACTGATCTGGTGGGTAGGAACGGGAGTAAGAAATTAGTTAGTGACTGGGGAGGGGGTTTGATGCTGACACCAACCGTGATGCATCTAAGAGTATGATCACCTACAAGGCGAAAGCACGCATTGAGAAAATTAGCTGAGAAGCATGAGACATGAACGACTTGGATCAACCGGATCCCGGCAAAAATGGTCGCTATTGTCTGTATGGCTCGTTCGACTAGCTGCAGACTGCGAATTCATGTCAACGTCGGGGCAGTACGAATCACGAGCTGTTTGTTGGGCTTCAAAGACAAAAGAGACAAAAGAGAGAGAGAGAAAAAGTCTGGTAGCTCATCTGCATGCCCTGCATGCAGGCAGCATCTCCGACGTATCTTCGTTCTTCCACCCTTCCACCCGCCTTTCTTTCGGGTCCAGTACTTTTTCGCCGAAATTTCTTTTCTTTTCTACTTGATCGATTTGCCCGTTTTCCCTCAATCAATCGGGGAATGGGTGCCCAAGGGATCTACTAGTTTGCAGGCCCATTGCCTCTTCCAATTTTCCAAATCTCCAGCTGCCCCTCCTTCATCTTTCCCCTCCCCACGGACTAAACGCGACTAAACTCTTCCGTTCCTTGTCACTTGCTTAGCGACCACCACCCCCATCTCCTCCTCCTCCGCCGCTCGCTACCAACGACTCATAATTGCGTACAGGACTATCATCCAAAGAACTCGTCGCGCCTAGACGCTCTTATTCGATGGAAGAATGAGCCGTCCTTTGCTGCCAATCAAGGAATCCTGACGCGGCAGGTCTGCAATGGTCTTGTCCTTCAATCTCTCGTGATTGATCTTCGTCCCCTTACCCACGCGCTCAATTTCCGATTTAATTGGACAGTGGTAGGATATCAGTATCAATTCTTGTCAGTGGCACGATACAAACCTGATTAGTAGTACCTGACAGGCAGCACCCTAGCTTCTGTTGCTGCACCTTTTTTTCTTCCTACTTGGAAGAGAAGAAAAAAAAAAAAGATTCTGGAACTCTTTATGCTCTCAATCTGTCAACTGTTATCGCCAACGATAAAGGTACAAAGTATCTGTTTCAATGCCAGCAGATTCTACGCATTGCAGGCACTCTAGTAGCATAGCTACTGACTTAGCTTCACGTCTAGTGCGCAACTTCCACATACACCCCCACCGTCAGTCTCCATTTTTCGGAACGGGTAGCCAACGAGCAGGATTATGAACGGACTGAAACAATAAGCAAGACTAAGGATCCGGACCACCGAGTGTCCGCTCAATGAGACACGGCGGTCCCCCAGAGAACCAGTGTTGCCAAGCATACTGGCGTGTAATGGTCGTCTGCGGGATGGAAATGACGAGGCCTACGAGGTTACGAAGACACTAGAGTAGCATGCCTGCTTAGCTACAACTAGTCGCTGCATGACAGTCGCAGAGGTGTGGAGCCTTTGCGAGGATATCGATTAAGGTGAAATCTCGCCCTGCGCCTAAATGAGAAGGTACCTAGCATGACAACGCCCGCCAGTGATGCAGGCTTGGTGTCATGTCCCACTCTAGCAGATGCGTGAGCTTCTTCCTGCAGATGGTGGAAGTCTCGATCCCAGTGGCAGGACTCTTCTGAGGGTCAAACCAACGTTACTGGCAGTGATCCGTTGTGACCGGGCTATCTCGTCAGTGGTCGCTCTCCAAGTATACTTAGCTCAGGAGTCAACTGCTACCTAGCTATTAGGACACACATCGACTTTCTCCCCATCCCGCATACATCGGGCTGCGCTACGCTACCTTTTACTCGCTTGGGAGTAGCGCCCCTCTGCGATATACCCCGAGGAACGCCGGGACTAGATCATTGCGGTCCTCTGACTGGCAAGGTTCTCCCTGGTCTTTCCTTCCTTTTTCGACCCCTCTTGTCTTGGTTTTGCTTTTTTGCTTCTTCTCCGTTGTCTTGGTTTCCCGTCTTTTTCTTCATTTCCGGCGTGGTGCACCTTCCTTCCCCTTTAGCCATCCCTCACATCAGTGAGTATCCAAGGCGGCTATTAAACTTTGAACTTGCGCGCCCGACTTTGGTAACGCGGTGCAACTGCGCGCAAAAAGTACCTTCTGGCCCCATAGCCCCCCCTTTCAATCTTGATTTTCCCTTTTTAGTTTACGTTAATGTGACTTTTGACTTTCGAAAAACGGGCCGCGCCGAATGTTTAAGGCTAATCGGCAACAGTTCGGTGCCCACCACCGCATGGACGGTCGGATGGAATGCATCCGCAAGTGAGCACTATGCTTAAGCACGCTTGGGCCATATAAGGGATATGGCAACTGGCACATTGACAAGTAGATTAACCAAGGCGCTGGGTTGAAGTCTAGAACCGTATCAGACCGGGGGGTCTGATATACGATTACTTATCATGACTGACTGCCTCTGCATATTAGCTCTCACATGGCCTTCTCATCACCAACATGGATGCCGAGATGCAAGAAACATATTCACTCAGGGGCGGCTAGCGATAATTCGGCCGAAGGATCAATGAGATTGTCCCCGTCGGTGGGAAGAACTAGTGCCAGTTGTGTCTTCCAAAAGAGCCACGAATTCCTCATATCCCTGATAGCATCCGCAAGTTGAATCAGCAGTTGGACGCCACAAAAGAAACCCCCTCTCACAGGAACCCACTCGCCTTTCCGAGTGTTCGCGATTCCTTGCCGCCCTCTTCACCAATCGGCCGTTTGGCCAATCGCAGCAGTCGTGACCTTCCAAAGGCCACAATACGATTCAAGTCCTTAAAATTGTATAGGCATAACACTTGTGGTAAATTGAGGATCTGACACAGCGTGATCCAATCATCTAGACCAACCAAGATACAGGATGATGATAAAATCCGATCGAGTCAGAAGTAAGTAGTTGCCTTCTTTGCCTCCTCGGTTCGACATCAGACATTGCCAGGATGTATCCTATATCTTGCATGAAGTGTGGCACCTCCCATCCCTGTGCCTTTCATTTGACCGGTCTATAACGGTGCGATGCCTGCCAATCCCTCCGGATCCGAATAATCTACATTATGCTACTTGATATATGCTACATGATACTTTAGCGTCGTGATAGACAACGATAGCATCCCTTCATATTTTAGGGTTACTTGACCACGAGACTACATCTGATTCAAGACCGTCACAGCAGCGGCTAAGGCTGGTGTCACCCTCAGCACATGCCAGATGAGCCAAGCGACTGGGCCAAAGAAGCTTGCTGGGCGTGTCGCTGTATGTATCTGTCGGGCCAGGCTGGCTTGGGTAGAATTCTAATACACAAATCATATGCCTTTAGAATAATATCATCATCTCACTATTATGAGAAATGGATTGCAATTCGGACTTCGCACGGATCTGGTTCTCTCACCAATACCTTCTCTTCCTTTCTTTGGTCATTGCCCATGCACCCCGCTTCGGCGAAGGGCAAGTACATCATCTTTCATACTCACGTTAACAGAGCGTTCAGTGATACTTCATCGGAAAGCAGAGAGGAATTATTCAAGCCACGGCCTACCCCCCACCTTACACCCCTCTCTTACCGTCTGTGAGGAAGGCACAGGATACGGAATAGTACATGGACTGGCATGGATGAGTCAGGGAGAAAATGAGGCAGATGGAACCATCCTCAGTGTCACATGTGACCTTTTCCCCTCTTGTCCCTTTCGCATAATCCGGAACTTCAAAATGAAAGAAATGAGCACTAACGCAGGGTGAGAGCAGTCACTTGAAGTTGGTCTGACAGTTGGGTTGTTGTTTTGCTGCTGCTGCTGCTGCTGCCGAACCAAGAAATCAACACAGCCAGCTGGTCGATCTCCCTGTCAAACAGCATCAAGAGCATCAAGCACTCCTTTGTAAATTTACTACTTGCTAGCCTACTCCGCCACAATTTCAGCGCCAAGTTAATGCTCGTCTGCTTACCGCATCTCGTTTCACTGACAGAAGGGCCCAAACAGCACCGCCGCCGCAGCAAAAAAAAAAAAAAAAAGCAGCAGCAGCAGCAGCAGCAGCAGCAGTAGCCGCAGGGTGGATATTTTTCATGTCGGATGATCAACCGACCCCCGAACGACCGATGGCTAACGCGCCTGTCAGACTGTCATTCATGTCAGTCAGCTGCATGCCATCTGCAGGCGAACAGGGGTCCAGGATTATTTCAATAGTGGCCAGACTAGATGTGTGCGAATCTGTCATCATGATGTATGATTCATGGATAAATTCTTTTGCCGCCAGGATTTCTTTTTGGGGGGAGAGGAGGTGTTGGAACAATCATTGACCCGTTCTTGATCATTGCTAATTAGGTGCTTACGGTCACTCACTACTACCTCTTCACACACAATGGAGACAAAGACCGCCCGATTATTCCGGAATATAGGAACAATAGGTAAGTAAGTAGGGACAATAATGGATACGAGGGGACCACTGACTACTTAGGGTGATGGTAAAACTACTACCAAATGATAATGAATCCCATTATATATTTTTCCTTACTCCGATGATCCCTCATCCTCTCGGTCCGAGTTACTCACCTTGTCTTAGGTATGTACTACCTACCCACTTACCAATTGACCTACTTCCTGTACAGGCTGCACAGGCTAGTGGTAGTATGTAGTATGCTATGCTGTGCTGGATAATGCCCAGCCATGACAATGCAGGGCAGTCAAATCACTCTGCGTTAACTTATCTTAACGCCAGCCTAGAATTAACTAACTACGTCTGCCAACCTGCCACCTAACGAACTGGACCTGCTGTGTCAAATCCAAGGAAATCTGCTCAGGTATCACAAACACCAAGCCATTCGGTCATACTCCCTACCCATTTTCTTTCTTTCTTTTTTTTTTTTTTTTTTCTTCCCACTCATACAGAACCAGGTGCCCGGAGTCTGGACATCCCCGGGTAGCAGTAGTAGTTCTTAGTATTGCGGCTTTTTTCTTTTCTTCTATTTCTTAGTGTTTGCTTTTCTTTCCCCTTCCCTTAGGGGTGTTGCGTCTATCCTCCCATTAAGGGTGTATTGTCCGAAGTCGGACGCGTGATGAAGCACAATAGATATGTAGTTAGTAGGTGGATAGGTACTTATGTCTTCACCTGAATATATTATTTCAGCATAACATATCCACCATCACTACTACACCACACACGTACGCGAAGTTCAATAGAAATATATATATGTGTCAACCTTAAAATAAAAATAAACCTCCAACCGATAGCCAATTAACTGACCACTACGTACTTTAAAACACACGTGCCGAGTGGTTTCACAGCACAACTTACACAACTTACTTACACTTAGTATTTATTTTTACCACTCCGAGGAGATATGCCCTCGGTTCCGCTTTCGGTTGGTTGTGCAGAGAATGGACTTTTAACTACAACTATTTACACAAACATACTTATGTACTACGTAGTAGTTCGCTTCGATCGATCGATTTTATCTATCTACTGTATCTTGGTTGGTGGATCGGTTTGGGGGTTGGGTTGATTGATTGATTGATTGATTGCTTGAAAAGTTGGGAAAGACTACTACTTATTTCATGCCGCTGCAGGTACGTAGTAGTTTGTTTAGACGTTCAGGGGAGGAAGGAATTATAGTTTATAGTTTGTAGTTTATGTTCTGGTGCAGATTTGGTAGTGGGTGTGAGGTGGATGGGTCTCAAGACACTTGTTGCTGAACCTGGGGATCTTCTTCGGTGTAGTCCATGGCCGGTGTATGTATGCATTAGATATATACGGACTGGGATGACTTCAATACCTTAATCTCCTGGTGATAAGAGCAAATATGAAAGAAGTGGATTCGAAGATTTGTCTCAAAGTCTACGGAGAACGACGATTGCACAAATTTCTGGCGAGGCTACGGTGTGGAGTGATGCGACGAACACGATGCACATCAAACCCCAGCATATCAAAGCGGCAACAAACGGGAAGAACGAAAGAAAGATGGGGCAGGTCAAGGAGGGTGAAAAAAATGGAAATCTCATTTCATGAATAGAAGAATTCATTCATTGGGAACCACGACCCGTACATATTACCCCGTCGTGTTTCATTTTTTAGCCGCGCCGTTCTTGTTCATTGAAGAATGAAAGAACCCTAGACCGAGCCAAATTTTTTTAAGGAAAATTTTCCATGATTCGCTCCTCTAATCACAAAAAAAACATCATTTATTGATATTTATGATGCATTTAGCGCTTGCCGGCAGCCTTCTCCTGAGACTCCTTGAGGACCTTCTTGACGATCTTCTGCTCCTCAATCAGGAAAGCACGGACGATGCGGTCCTTGACGCAACCGGCGCAGCGGGAACCACCGTAGGCGCGGCTGACGTTCTTCTTGGGGCGGGAGATCTGAGCGTACTCGCGGGGGCGGAGAGCGGGGACCTATATCGGTGGAAAAGGGTGATACGATCAGCCATTTTTTGCTCTTCCTTCATGTCCTTGATATAGCGAATGGTGGTGGTGGTGGTAATGTTGATTGTTGTCGTTTCCTTGTGTGTTGGACGAAGCGATCGTCCATGCACGCACACCCTCCATCCACTCATCCATTTCCCAGCTCGTTCACACACAACCACCACCGCCACCATTCAACATAGATAATTCGGGAGCACTCACACCAGGGAGCTTGATGCCACAGTCACCGCACTTGGGAGCAGTGCCCTTCTTCTTGATGTGAAGGTAACGGAGCTCACCGCCGGGGGTCTTGATGATGCGGACCTGGTTGGACCGCGTGTTGTACCTGAAGAACAAAATCCATCAATACCCTATTCATGAATATCTCGGCGTATATATAAAAATTTCAAGAGCAAAGCAGCGGTCCATCGCGTCAAAATCGGACAAATCGTTATTGCACCGTAGCGACCGATAAAGAAATGAAATTTTGGTGGGAGTGACAAAAGGCACGATGGGGGTAGAATCAAGAGGGAAAATTCAAACGTACGGGTTCCGGCGGCGCTGCAGAGAAAAAGAACATTAGATCAGTATTCCATTTCATATAATATTCAGAGATTCAATATACTCACGTATTGGAGTCTGTTGTTCGCCATTTTGTCTGTCCTTGAACCTCTAGGTCGGTGGTCTCAAGAGATTGGCGGCGGCGTCGTCGGTTGTCGTCGTTGACCTCGTAGAATTCTCGCGGTAATCTGGATTTGTGTGGGTTTCGCTCGGAGCCCTGGGCGGCCGCGCTAGCGCTAATTTGGCGAGAACGCGCTAACCCCAATCCGGACTAGTACCGGCCCGAGCAGAGCCGCCACCTCTTTTCAGACTTGCTTCATCAAACAAGGCAGGAGAAGCAAGAAGAGACTGGAGCAAGCTGTCTTATCACCTTCCCGTCGTGAGAAGGGGATCGTCCAGGAGTGGTTTTATCTTCTTCGGGGCAAAGCTTCATTTCTCCGACGCGATTTCTTATTATCAATCTGTTTTAATTCCCCCCTCCTCCATTCCGTTTTTCTCGCGTCGCTGAGCTGCAGTCGATGAGCTCGCGATAAGTCACGACCCGTGCATCTTTTGACGCGACTTAGTCACGAAACTTCCAGCCCGTCCATCAGAGCAGAGAGTGTCTTTCATATATACAACCCATTACCATGGCATCATTGCCTCCCCCTCCGCCTCCGGGCTGGGGTGCGTCGGCGCCGCCGTCGATGCCGTTGGCTCCTCCGCCACCGGGATATCAACCGCCTGCGGATCCGACTGTCGCGAAGTTTGCCCAGAAGAAGAATGAATGGCTGCGGACGCAACGGAACCGGTTTGGCGAGAAGAGAAAGGGTGGATTCGTTGAAACACAGAAGGCTGATATGCCCCCGGAGCATCTGCGAAAGATTGTTCGGGACATTGGCGATGTGTCGCAAAAGAAGTTCAGCAATGAGAAGCGCAGCTATCTCGGTGCGCTGAAGTTCATGCCCCATGCTGTGTTGAAGTTGCTGGAGAACATGCCCATGCCCTGGGAATCGGCTAGGGAAGTTAAGGTATTGTATCATGTCAATGGTTGCCTTACCTTGGTCAATGAGACTCCTCGTGTCATTGAGCCCGTCTTTCACGCTCAATGGGCTACCATGTGGGTGTGCATGCGGCGAGAGAAGAGTGATCGCAGACACTTCAAGAGAATGCGCTTCCCTCCCTTCGACGACGAAGAACCTCCGCTATCGTGGTCGGAAAACATTGAAGATGTGGAGCCGTTGGAACCTATTCAGATGGAGCTTGATGAGTCGGAGGATGCTCCTGTCTATGAGTGGTTTTATGATCACCGGCCTCTGCTGGATACTCCCCATGTTAATGGGCCGAGCTACAAGAGCTGGAACTTGACACTTCCGCAGATGGCCACTCTGTATCGACTAAGTCATCAGCTCCTGAGTGACGTCGTCGATCAGAACTACTTCCATATGTTTGACTTGAACAGTTTCTTCACCGCTAAGGCACTGAATGTCGCCATCCCCGGTGGTCCTCGCTTCGAGCCTCTGTACAAGGATATCGACCCCAATGACGAGGACTTCAGCGAATTCAACGCCATCGACCGTATCATCTTCCGCGCCCCTATCCGCACGGAATACCGCGTCGCCTACCCCTTCCTGTACAATACCCTCCCGAGAAGCGTAAAGGTTTCTTGGTACTCTCACCCTCAAGTTGTATATGTCCGCACCGACGACCCTAATCTCCCCGCCTTCTACTTCGACCCCGTCATCAACCCTATCTCCTCCCGGTCCGTCGCGCCGAAGAATATCACTGTCAGCCATGAAGATGAGATTTTTGGTGAAGGAAACAACGAGGACGACTTCGAGCTCCCTGGCGACTTCGAGCCGTTCTTCTCCGATGAGGAATTGTACACACCCGATACCGCGTCCGCCATTGCCCTCTGGTGGGCTCCTCATCCCTTCAACAAGCGCTCCGGCAAGATGGTGCGCGCCCAGGATGTTCCCCTCGTGAAGCAGTGGTATCTGGAGCATTGCCCGCAGGGCCAGCCTGTCAAGGTTCGCGTCTCATACCAGAAGCTGCTTAAGACGTTCGTCCTCAATGAGCTGCACAAGAAGAAGCCCAAGGCCCAGAGCAAGCAGAATCTCTTGAAGACTTTGAAGTCGACCAAGTTCTTCCAGCAGACGACGATCGATTGGGTTGAAGCAGGTCTGCAAGTTTGCCGCCAAGGTTTCAACATGCTCAACTTGTTGATCCACCGCAAGAACTTGACCTACCTCCACCTTGACTACAACTTCAACTTGAAGCCCGTCAAGACTTTGACCACCAAGGAGCGAAAGAAGTCTCGTTTCGGAAACGCTTTCCACTTGATGAGAGAAATCCTTCGTCTCACCAAGTTGATCGTCGACGCCCAGGTGCAATATCGGTTGGGTAACATTGATGCCTTCCAGCTGGCTGACGGCATCCTGTATGCTTTCAACCACGTCGGACAGCTTACTGGTATGTACCGTTACAAGTACAAGTTGATGCACCAGATTCGTTCTTGCAAGGATCTCAAGCATTTGATCTACTACCGCTTCAACTCGGGACCCGTGGGTAAGGGTCCTGGATGCGGTTTCTGGGCCCCGGCCTGGCGTGTCTGGCTCTTCTTCATGCGTGGTATCATTCCTCTGCTCGAGAGATGGCTCGGAAACCTGCTGTCCCGTCAGTTCGAGGGTCGCCACAGCAAGGGTGTTGCCAAGACTGTCACCAAGCAGCGTGTGGAGTCTCACTTCGATCTTGAACTCCGTGCATCTGTCATGGCGGATCTCATGGACATGATGCCCGAGGGTATCAAGCAGAACAAGGTCAACACTGTCCTCCAACATCTGTCGGAGGCATGGAGATGCTGGAAGAGTAACATTCCTTGGAAGGTTCCTGGCCTTCCGGCGCCCATTGAGAATATCATTCTCCGTTACGTCAAGAGCAAGGCCGACTGGTGGATTTCCGTCGCTCACTACAACCGTGAACGTATCCGTCGTGGTGCCACCGTCGATAAGACAGTTGCAAAGAAGAACCTTGGTCGACTCACTCGGTTGTGGCTCAAGGCTGAGCAAGAGCGTCAACACAACTACCTTAAGGATGGTCCCTACGTGTCGTCCGAGGAAGCTGTGGCCATCTACACAACTATGGTCCACTGGCTTGAGTCTCGCAAGTTCTCTCCGATTCCCTTCCCTAGTGTTTCTTACAAGCACGACACCAAGATCCTGATCCTTGCTTTGGAGCGTCTGCGTGAATCCTACTCCGTCAAGGGCAGACTCAATCAGAGTCAGCGTGAGGAGCTCGCTCTCATCGAACAGGCGTACGATTCTCCTGGAACGACCCTAGCCAGAATCAAGCGTTTCCTTTTGACTCAGCGAGCCTTCAAGGAGGTCGGCATCGATATGAACGACAATTACAGCCATATCAACCCCGTGTACGACGTGGAGCCCATCGAAAAGATTACCGACGCCTATCTCGACCAGTACCTGTGGTACCAGGCAGAGCAGCGCCACTTGTTCCCCGCTTGGATCAAGCCGTCGGATTCTGAAGTCCCCCCCTTGTTGACTTACAAGTGGGCTCAGGGTATCAACAACTTGGACAACGTCTGGGAGACTGCCGATGGCGAGACGAACGTTATGATCGAGACCGAGCTGTCCAAGGTCTATGAGAAGATGGATCTTACTTTGTTGAACCGCATGCTTCGCCTTATCATGGACCACAACTTGGCTGATTACATCACTTCCAAGAACAACGTGCAGCTCAGCTACAAGGACATGAACCATACCAACAGCTACGGTTTGATTCGCGGTCTGCAGTTCTCCGGCTTCGTTTTCCAATACTATGGCCTAATGATCGATTTGCTGCTCCTCGGTCTGCAGAGAGCTAGTGAAATGGCTGGACCCCCTGCAAGCCCCAACGACTTCTTGCAGTTCAGAGACCGTGCTACTGAGACGAAGCATCCTATTCGTCTGTACACGCGTTACGTCGACAAGATCTGGGTCTTCCTTCGATTCTCTGCCGATGAGTCTCGAGACTTGATTCAGCGCTTCTTGACTGAGAACCCCGATCCCAACTTCGAAAATGTCATCGGGTACAAGAACAAGAAGTGCTGGCCGCGTGATTGCCGCATGCGTTTGATGCGTCATGATGTCAACTTGGGTCGCGCTGTATTCTGGGATCTGAAGAACCGCCTGCCGAGGTCCATCACCACCATCGAATGGGATGACACTTTCGCCAGTGTCTACAGCAAGGACAACCCGAATCTTCTGTTCTCTATGTCCGGATTCGAAGTCCGCATTCTTCCTAAGTGCCGCAACCAAAACGAGGAGTTCTCGGTGAAGGACAGCGTTTGGTCTCTGGTCGATAACTCGACTAAGGAGCGCACAGCTCATGCTTTCCTCCAGGTCACGGAGGAGGATATCCAGAAGTTCAACAACCGGATTCGTCAGATTCTCATGTCGTCCGGTTCGACGACTTTCACTAAGATCGCAAACAAGTGGAACACGGCTTTGATCGCACTCTTCACCTACTACCGTGAAGCTGCTGTATCCACCGTCAACCTTCTGGATACTATCGTCAAGTGCGAAACCAAGATCCAGACCCGTGTCAAGATTGGTCTGAACTCCAAGATGCCTTCGCGTTTCCCTCCCGCAGTTTTCTACACCCCCAAGGAACTGGGAGGTCTGGGTATGATCTCTGGATCCCACATTCTCATTCCGGCTAGCGACAAGCGGTGGTCCAAACAAACGGATACCGGCATCACCCACTTCCGCGCGGGTATGTCGCATGACGAAGAGACCCTGATCCCGAACATCTTCCGGTACATAATCCCTTGGGAAGCCGAGTTCATTGACTCCCAGAGAGTGTGGATGGAGTATTCACAGAAGCGGCAGGAGGCTCAGCAGCAGAACCGCCGTTTGACGTTGGAGGACCTGGAGGACAGCTGGGACCGTGGTCTTCCCCGTATCAACACCCTGTTCCAGAAGGATCGCAGTACGCTCAGCTTCGACAAGGGTTTCCGTCTTCGCGCTGAATTCAAGCAATACCAGTTGATGAAGAGCAACCCGTTCTGGTGGACTAGTCAGAGACATGACGGAAAGCTGTGGAACTTGAACGCTTACCGTACCGACGTCATCCAGGCCCTTGGTGGTGTCGAAACCATTCTTGAGCACACCCTCTTCAAGGCAACTGCTTTCCCATCATGGGAGGGTCTCTTCTGGGAGCGAGCTTGTCTTGCTAAGGGTACTCTTCTGCTTAGCTATGATGGCACTAAGATCGCTGTCGAGGATGTCAAGGAAGGTGATCTGCTCCTTGGACCTGACGGTGGTCCTCGTCGTGCCTTCAACATCGTTAGCGGCGAAGATCGGCTATACCGTATCAAGATGGCGGGCAGCCAGGAAGACCTGGTGGTAACACCAAACCACATCCTGGTCCTCCATCGCGAGAAGGACGCCGGAGCTCCTGGTGTGTCAAGTGATCGTTACGATACCGTTGAGATGACCGCAGCTGAGTTCGCAGCACTCGACGAGAAGGAGAGGCGCAAGCATCTGCTGTTCCGTTCTCCTAGCTTCGAGCAATCTGAAGTCAATATCCTGATCAACGAGATTACTCTCGAGTCCGAGGCCACTGAATGGGCCGGTTTCCGGGTTGACAAAGACCAACTTTACATGCGTCACGACTACCTCGTCCTCCACAACTCTGGTTTCGAAGAATCCATGAAGTTCAAGAAGCTTACCAACGCCCAGAGATCCGGTTTGAACCAGATTCCTAACCGTCGTTTCACCCTATGGTGGTCTCCCACCATTAACCGTGCCAACGTGTACGTTGGTTTCCAGGTCCAGCTGGATCTTACGGGTATCTTCTTGCACGGTAAAATCCCGACCCTGAAGATTTCGTTGATTCAGATCTTCCGTGCCCACTTGTGGCAGAAGATTCACGAGTCTGTCGTCATGGATCTGTGCCAGGTCTTCGATCAGGAGCTTCAGCAGCTGGGTATCGAGACGGTCCAGAAGGAGACTATTCACCCTCGTAAGTCTTACAAGATGAACAGCTCTTGCGCCGATATCTTGCTTTTCGCAACGAACAAGTGGAACGTCACGCGTCCTTCCTTGCTGTTCGACACCAAGGATGTCTACGAGCCAACTACGACGAACAAGTTCTGGCTTGACGTGCAGTTGAGATATGGTGACTACGACTCCCACGACATTGAAAGATATGTCCGTGCCAAGTACCTCGACTACACCACCGACAGCATGAGTATCTATCCTTCTGCTACCGGTTTGATGATTGGCATTGATCTCGCGTACAACCTGTACTCGGCCTATGGACAGTACTTCCCTGGTCTCAAGACTCTTATCCAGCAGGCTATGGCCAAGATCATGAAGGCGAACCCCGCCTTGTATGTCCTGAGAGAACGTATCAGGAAGGGTCTGCAGCTCTATGCCTCGGAAAGCAACCAGGAGTTCTTGAACTCCCAGAACTACTCGGAGCTTTTCAGTCCTCAGATCCAGCTGTTCATTGACGATACCAATGTCTACCGTGTCACCATTCACAAGACTTTCGAAGGTAACCTGACGACCAAGCCCATCAACGGTGCTATCTTCATCTTCAACCCCAGAACCGGACAACTGTTCCTGAAGATTATTCACACTAGTGTCTGGGCTGGACAGAAGCGTCTGGGTCAGTTGGCCAAGTGGAAGACAGCAGAAGAAGTGGCGGCCCTCATTCGTTCCCTGCCTGTTGAGGAGCAGCCGAAGCAGCTAATTGTTACCCGTAAGGGTCTGTTGGATCCCCTGGAAGTTCACCTGCTGGACTTCCCCAACATTTCCATCCGTGCTTCCGAGCTTCAGCTTCCTTTCCAGGCCGCGATGAAGGTTGAGAAGCTTGCGGATATGATCCTTCGGGCAACGGAGCCGCAGATGGTCCTGTTCAACCTGTACGATGAGTGGCTGAAGTCCATCTCTCCTTACATCGCCTTCTCTCGTTTGATCCTCATCCTGAGAGCCCTCCACGTCAATATCGACAAGGCCAAGATTATCCTCAGACCCGACAAGAGTGTCATCACCCAGGAGCACCATATCTGGCCTTCGCTGTCAGATGAAGACTGGATGAAGGTTGAAGTGCAATTGCGTGATCTGATTCTGAACGACTACGGCAAGAAGAACAATGTCAACGTGCAGAGTCTGACGAGTAGTGAAGTCCGCGATATCATCCTGGGTATGGAGATCAGTGCTCCTTCCCTGCAACGACAGCAGGCCGCGGAGATTGAGAAGCAGCAGGAAGAGCAGAAGCAACTCACGGCTGTTACGACGAAGACACAGAACGTCCGTGGTGAGGATATCATCGTCACTACCACGTCGCAGTATGAGCAGCAATCGTTTGCTTCCAAGACTGAATGGCGCACACGGGCAATCGCGACGTCCAACCTTCGTACGAGGTCGAACAACATCTACATCTCGTCGGATGACGTCCGAGAGGAGGGATACACCTACATCATGCCGAAGAACGTCCTCAAGCGCTTCATCACGATTGCAGATCTGCGTGTGCAAGTTGCTGGATACCTGTACGGTACCTCTCCTCCTGACAACGACCAGGTGAAGGAAATCCGCACCATTGTCATGATCCCCCAGGTGGGCAATACGCGTGAGGTGCAGTTGCCACAGCAGCTGCCCCAGCACGATTATCTCAACAACCTCGAACCTCTGGGTGTTATCCACACCATCTCTGGAAACGAGCCCCCTTACATGTCGGCCATGGATGTTACACAGCATGCTCGTTTGATGAACGCCCACTCCTCCTGGGACAAGAAGACGGTTACCATGACAGTGTCTTTCACCCCTGGATCCGTGTCACTTGCGGCCTGGGGTCTCACGCCCCAAGGCTACAAGTGGGGAGCAGAGAATCGTGATACCACGTCTGATCAACCGCAAGGATTCTCGACCAGCATGGGAGAGAAGTGCCAGCTGTTGCTCAGTGACAAGATCCGCGGATACTTCCTGGTGCCGGAAGACAACGTCTGGAACTACAGCTTCATGGGCAGCTCCTTCGGCGGAGTGGAGAAGCGGCCGGTGTACGTGAAGATCGACACCCCTCTGAGATTCTACGATGAACAACATCGTCCATTGCACTTCCAGAACTTTGCGGAACTGGAAGATATTTGGGTTGACCGTTCTGATAACTTTGCGTGAGCGATGTGTGGATGGCGTTGGCATGATAATATTTTTCTTCTTCTTTTCCCCTTTTATACGGACGATTACGCTGTTCTGAAATTATTTCCCTATATCTTCAAGCCATGTCTTTTTTTCCCCTCTCAAAGTTTTCTTTCCTTTTGATGTTCGCAGTATACAAAATCCTCTCATGTGTCTTACTATGGTTACATTTTTTGATATCGATGCTTGGCAGCAAGTGAGGGATGAGAAGCCCAACGGAAGTGGAGATCCGGTGGCGGGGACGGGGCAAAAATGGCTGCGCTATGTACAGTAGACATGTAGGTAGCGATGTATGTTTAAGAAGTTTATTACCTAAAGTGGTCATCGGTTTGTAGATGTTCTCATGTATACTGTACCTAGAGTAGAGGATTCAATATGGAGATCCAACAGGCAGCTATAATACAATTCCGGGCTTTAGGAGTTTAGGGGATCGACCATGTGGGTGGGCAGCAGAGCTAAAGAGGGCCGGAGGAGACTGTCAATCAATATGGACCATGTGTGAGTCCACTTTGGGCCGGGTAGGTTAATCGTTATTAACGGTCTAGTAATAATTAAAAAAAAAAAATACTATAAATTAGACCGGAATATGCTTAATGTCAATAGTCTAGTTTGGTGAGGGGGTTAGTTGACGTGTGTATTTTTTTTTTATTTTCTCAAGCCGGGGTGGGAAGATCAGTGTTTGTGTCTTGATGGAACTTGACCGAGCAAAAAGACCGAGTACGAAGGAGGGGGTGGCTCCTGACTCTTGTCTCTCCCTCACTCACTCACCTCACCTACTTACTACTCTTCCTCCCCCTCTCCCTCCTTCTCCCTCTTGTTCGCCCGTCTGAACCCACCCACCCTACTTAGTCCTACTGAACACTTTCCCTCTCACGTTCTCATTTTCTCTCTCTCTCCCTCTTCTGTGCCGTGCACGGCTGCTAACTAAAAACGCCTCTCACTTCCCCCCTGCTTCACTTTTCCTCCTCCACACCATCCCTTCCGGCTGGATCCGATGTACATTTCCAACGGTCTGGCCCAAGCACTCATCCAGCCAGCTGGTCGGGGCGTCTAAGACATTCGTGTCGGGCTCATTTTATTTCGGTGGTTTGATGCAATGTGATCAACTCGACTGTTTCACCAGTGCCTCATGGCCTGAAATCTCGGGACGAAAGTCAAATTGCAGAGACCCATCGGAAGAACTCGCCCTGCAACTGCAAGATACGATGGATGGGCTTACGGGGGATCCACCTTGACGCCAATCCTGTCCGGAGTACGGAGTACACGCCTACTTGAGACTACTACCCCTACAGGTTAAGTCGATATTCAATCTGAAGTCTGAGAGGGGTCTTACGTGTTGTGTACAAAGTATAAGCTCCCCAACCCCGTTTTTCCCTTTTTTATTTATTTGTTGGTTCTTTTTAATTTTTCCTTTATTGTCTTCCTGCCTGTGTCCATGATCTATCATCCGTTGATGCTCATTGATCGAGCAGGACAATAATTAGGAATCAGCCGGATGCTTAAATCGTAACTCACTCTATGGAGTAGCTTTCTCTCCATCTCAACCGCTATGACACGGTGGTGGCTCTCGGGGCCTCTCTCTTACACCTTAACAGCAAACAGCTCGAGCTACTGCTACTACTCTCACCCGCCCACGGCCTATCATATTATAAAAAAGGAAATAAGGAAAATAAAAATGAACCAAAACATTAGACACATTCATGACAACCCACCTCTCACATATTTTACCCACGCGCTAAGCTCCCGGCCTCCGACCGTTCTCGGGGGCTTGTGTCCACGAGGGTGACCTAGAATCAAGAGCAAATAAGGTTGACAGGAAGGCTCCTGCTCTCATCAGAAGGGTCAAACTTGCTCCCCTTTGACAAAAGACATGGCTTTTCAGTCCAGCTTCGTCTGGCCTCACAACCCAAGGGGGCCGGAGACCCAAAAAGAACGAAAAAGAAAATAAAATAAAATTAAGTACAAGAAAAAAAAGTGAGGCCAGGCAAAAAAGGGGAACCTAGACGTGGGTACGGTTTAGGCTCGAGCCTGACCCGCGATCATTTTTTTTCTCCTCCTGCGCGATAGAGTCGTATTCTTAGTCGATGGGAGCCACCGCACATCGTTCATGCGTGATTGAGGAGTCGTGATGTGCGCGCGCGCGCTCCCTTCTTGATTCCCTCACTGGTGTTGTGTTGGTTTGGCTTCCCGCGCCCGTTCCAGGCTACGGGATTTTTATATACACTATCCAGACCAGGGTCATTACTCCATTTCCCTCTCGAGAAACAAAGGCTCGGCCGGAACTCCCTGCTTAGCATGATGGCCCACCTCCGAGCAAGCTAGCACCCTCCCGCTAGTCATTCCAATCACCTTTTCCAGGTGGATGTCTCGCCGACGACCGTTCTCTACCCGCCATTGGCGTATTCGCTGAGTGGAGTTGCTGCGTCGACGTACGACGGTCCTTGTTCTGACAGGGGGCGAATTCCTGAGCGAGTTAGGAGCAGACCAGCACAACAGGTTTGACTCCCTTGACCCGAGTCCACCGACTCGCTCGTCTCATTCACGTTCGTATCCAATAAGTTAACTTCAGATTATGCCTGGCCTACGTATGGGTTTGGGCTTGGATCTCCCCCCCGCTTCTGCGTTTGCTCGGGGCTGGAGACGGTAGAGCCCCGAAGGAAGGGAGAGGGGCAGAAAGAGGAGAGAGAGAGGGTGATGGATTGAGTTATGAATGGAGGGCGACTCTTTGTCTACCTGAGCTTTGGCTGGTTCGCCGTGTTTCAAACTTGTACACAGTATCCCCGACTATTGCCCTAATTTCCTCCTCTACGGCAGTCACTGCCATGCCTTGGCAATCACCAGACGGGCCGGCGGAAGGCAAATGGTAGCCTCATCCTTCGTCCTGCTGGCATCCATGACCGTTGTCCCCTCTGGGTCCCTCTGCAAGCTAAGCTTGACTGGAACGCAGATCCGTCAAATGGGCGATTTCTTCTGCCAGCCCACCTGCACCTTTCTGATTTGGGTTATATGGAGTGTCTCCGTGTCTCGTCAATTTTACCCCATGGATTCTGACAGCTTATTTATTATGATTTGCCCTTTCCAGAACCTTTCATCGGCCGTCTACGCTGCCGTATATATCCTCTAACACTTACCCTATCACTGCTCTGCACGGGACTTTTACATGCAGCTGGAAGCAGCATCCCGGCATCAACCTCCACTTGTTCTTCCCCGTTAGATCCTGCATCTCAAACGACGGAGGGATACGGGCTGCAAGCCTATCTGCGGAGTTTCTGGCATGAGAATTAGACCTCCGACTTCTCTCAGTAGATTTGGTTGGGCCGGGCCTCTTGTCGGTGCGTCTGGACTCTGGTGAAGATTACCGGTCTTTTTCGGGACTTCCCAGCTGGCGCGCTCATCACTGACCCGGTGAGTAGTACTAGTAAGCCATCTATCCATCCCTTTCGCCCAGTGACTCTTTCCCTTTCCCATGGTGGCCAGACCCTGTGTCGCCTCTAGCTTCCTCTTTCACTCTCCTCCTCTGTTTCTTCTCTCCGTTCTCTCTGCCGTTGTTTTTCAAATGTGTTCGATGTCCTGCGACCTGACTTCGCTACTCTCTTCCTTCTTGCACCTTGGGATGAGCGATCGTCGTGTCTTGACGTTGCTGTCGAGTCATTCAATCCATGACCTATAATTCTGACGACCAGATAGTTTCGCGCCTCACGCTCTGAAAGCCAACGGTCTATATCCCAATCTTCCAGGCTTCAGAAGTTCGGTCTGTACATGGCCAAAGCTTTGATCCTTGCTTCAACCCAGAGGATTTCACGATCTGTCACTCTTCGCTTCATCGGACGAACTCCGACAGTCAGTCAGCCTATCTCGTGACGGCCTTTTCCGTCGAGATAGCATCTTCGACCTCCTTCCTTTTCTTTCCCCCCCCCTTTTTTTTTCTAGAGCCAGTCAGTAGCCTGCCAGGGCTGTTAGGCTCTAGCGGCGCAGATGTATGTCCGCGACGCTGGCGGATCCGTATCGAGAGTATGCTATTGATTATTCTCAACATGCCACCTGCAAACCTGAGGAACACACAGGCACGCTTGTTTACCACGCACAGCAGCCGCATCTCCAGCATCACAAGCAGCCCGAGCCTCCATTCTCTCAGGGGGCCTCTCATAGCACGACGGCATTTGAGCAACATCATGCGAACGCGACCGTGTTGTCAACAGCCACTCCGCAACAAACAGTCCATGATATCTCGCAAAGCGTTGTCCTTGGCCCGCCCCAAATGCTCCCACGACACCTTCCAGTGCAGTATCCACCTGCCAGCTTCGAAATCCCGCCTATTCAGCGCGAGAAGAAACGCCCTCATTCGGAGACCGAAGAGGATGGGAACCCCGACCATGGCCTGCGGCCACAGCTATCAGTCCTCTCAGCCGATGCCCCTCACGAACCCTCGCATTCTCCCGAGATGCTCTTCGGTGTCCATGGCACATCATCTCAGCAGCATCCCATGTCAAACCATGGATTCGGACCCACGGACTCTGTGGCCCTGCCGCAACATCACCATCACCATCGACTCCCGCCCCATGCAGCGCTGCGCGCCCCGGGGCGTCATGGAGTGAATATGGAATCGCCTCCTTTGCCCTCGGGTCCGCCGAGTGTGGTGGGCCAGCCTGGAATGCCGGATCCGGCTCCCAGGCCCCGAGGTCCAAAACTGAAGTTTACTCCCGAAGAAGACGCTCTACTGGTGGAGCTGAAGGAAAACAAAAACTTGACATGGAAGCAAATTGCAGACTTCTTCCCGGGCCGAACGAGCGGCACCTTGCAAGTCCGATACTGCACCAAGCTGAAGGCCAAGGATGTGGCTTGGAGTGACGAAATGGTTCGAATTTCCCTGGTGCATTTCTACGTTTTTCTCACATGCTAATGAAGGGAATAGGTACAAAGGCTGCAACGGGCAATGCACGAATACGAGAACGATCGGTGGCGTATCATTGCAGGAAAGGTTGGAAATGGCTTCACCCCAGCTGCTTGTCGCGAGAAGGCTATGCAACTCCAGTAAAGGCTTGGGGAATTTCTCATTTATATCTACTGTCGCCAGATTCGACCTTACTTGGACCCTCTGATCTCCCTACTCTCCATATTGGTTCAAATGTCGGGTTTCCGATAGGGCTGGTGGTGCAGGCCTGTTGTAGGCACGGGAGGATGATCAGCATAACTCTGATATACTATAGGGACGGTTGATGTAAGGTATTTAGTGATGTATGATAATTCATTTTAGCCTGGGGAACTTATGGCGCCGGCATTTGTTCGTTCGCAATGAACCGACACTAGCGTCCGCTCTCGCACTTTAGCACCGGCTGATCCCGGGCTGAACGCGGCCATTGCTCGGCCGGGGCATGTGTTCTTCATCTACGGCAGACCGCAGAAAACCATTTGCGCAGACAGTAGACCCTAAGCCCTAAGCCGGACGCCCAATCGAGCAGGTCTGCGGACCAGGTCATTGCGGGCAGCCGTAGAAGCTCCGCAACCAATCAATCCCCGGCGCTGACTAAGGGCAGGCGACCACGGGCCGAAGCGGCTTCAAACTCACCTCAACCTCCAAACTCCCTCATCTCCAAACGTCCTTGCCTTGTCTGCCGTCATTGCAACCCACCCACCAGGACAATGTTCCTCCAACGCACAGCCTTCGCCCTCGCCAGGCGCACCCCTACCCGGGCTCTCGCTGCCCGTCCCTTTTCTTCCTCCGTCACCCGCTGTACGTGACCCTCATCGTCGGATCAAAAGACCGCCTCTTCTGCACCGCAGCAGTGGCAGCCGTCCCTTTTCTCCCGCGCTCCCATGGTCTCTATATGGGCCAATTGCACGGGATTGCAGACGTCGGTTCTGGATATGCGAGCTAACATGCCATTGCTGCTCCTATAGTCAACGCCAAGAAGTATGAGGTGAAGCAGGAGGGCAAGATCCTTCCCTTCGATGGTGAGTTGGCACCACACCCACTCCTACACGAAGCGTCAATTGTCCCTACGGATACACTTGCAAGATAGCAATTGCGACTTGTACTGCGAGTGAGGTTGCAATTGGGCATCTTATGCGGGGTTTCGGGCACTGAGGACATTTGATAGCCGGCTACTTGCATCTTCTCGATGCCTTGACACATGGTTGACATCATACTGATTGTGCGCTTTCTTCCTGAACAGAGATCAAGACCGAGGACGACCTCATCCCCCCGGGTGCTAAGTCCGGTACCGTTCCCGTCGATATCGAGCACGCCACTGGTCTCGAGCGTCTCGAACTCGTCGGAAAGATGCAGGGCATTGACATCTTCGACATGCGTCCCCTCGATGCTTCCCGCAAGGGTATGTCATACACTATTTTCGCTCTTTGCGGTGGCTTTTGAAGCCTTGTCTAGGTGATTTGCGAGGGTGGGCGCTGATATAACGCTACATAGGAACCCTCGAGGACCCCATCATCGTCAACGGTGCTGGTGACGAGCAGTACGCTGGTTGCACTGGTTTCCCCGCCGACTCTCACCAGGTTAACTGGTTGACTGTAAGCCGATTTCTTCCGTGCTGTTTATCTCCTGTGATAGCATGATCCCTAATCAAGCCACAATACAGGTCTCCCGTGACCGCCCCATCGAGCGCTGCGGCGAGTGCGGTAACGTTGTCAAGCTCAACTACGTCGGCCCCTTGGAGGACCCCCACGCTCGTAAGTGACTTCCCATCAATCCCGGCCCAAACCATGGCCATCATTCGCTGTGCGATGTACTAATTGCTCCCTATCCAGACGACCACGACCACGGTCACGGCCACCCCCCTCACGAGGAGCCCAAGACCTTCGCCGACTTCGTCAAGCCTGAGTACTGGTACCGGTAAATACAATGTACTACTACAATGAATGGAGCGATTGTCCTTTTTCTTTTTCTTCCCCCTTCCCTACTTAGGTGCTATTTCTTCGATCCGGAGCAAAGAGAAACAATGGAGTGAAGCGAGATATTAGAGAGAAGAGACAATCCGACATATAATCTGTATGTGTACATGCGCGAGGCAGGGGGTGTTCTGGCAAGACAAGTCACAAAAGAGAGAGATATATGGGGGGCGCCGGCTTTCTGTACAAGATTTCATCGGGATGAACTATTAGTTGTGTGTTGTGTGTGTGTGTGTGTGTGTGTGTATCGTTTGAAACCAATATTGTTGTATACTTTTGACAATTCCTATCCCTTCTTCCTAGATACTCTTCTTTGATGCTCTGTAGATCTAACAACGAGACTTATATCACCTCAAACCCGAACGATATAACACTTCAATTGGACGTATATGATACTATAGTATCCTATCAACCCACTACTCCTAGCACTACCATAACATGGAACACCGCTACTCCTAATGAGCAATCTCACGGAACAAGTACATTACTAGCATGTAATTACCCATGGCTTGAAAGAAACCACATACAACTCTGAGCCTACTACCTAGAGTCCCTACCTAACTAACTATAGTGCGGTACGTGCAAGTGAGCTGATCAAGCAATTACTTAGTTTACGCGCGGGTGGCATGATGTCCGGAACAGCGGAAACTAACGGAAAGAAGGAAGGGAAGGGAAGGGGAAATATTAGCCGTATCACGTGGTATGTAAAAACCGCTAGCTCCTGGAGGGATTCTTTTACTTGCCTAAATAGGTAGGAGGGAAAAGTAAGCTGGAGCCTGCCCGTAGGCGGTGTTAAGTAGTAGGTAGTATGATGGGAAACGGAGGTGCTATTACTGCTTACTTACTTAGTAGTATGTACTAGTGTGATCTTTTGGGGGATTTTACTTTAGTAATTGAATTGAAGGTGTTGGGTAGTGTTCCCTTGGATGATTTGGTAGCTACTGTTAGGTTAAAGAGGATAGTAACGATGAAATGGAAATTTTTATAGTACTAGTGCAATCTGATGTACATTTCTTTTTGATTGAGTGACGATGATAATGTCTGTCACTCGGCATTGTACTATGATATAGTATAGTACATGATCAGTTTTGGGTATACCCTACAAGGTCAATGACCTATTTATAGAGCATTTGGCAATGTTGAATTGAATGGTTGTGCTCTTTTTCAGCAGCCCAATGGCATTACTGCCAGTTCACCGTCCGAAGTAACGAAGTTCGGCATATCGAAGAGGCGGATAAACCACACATGTCCACGAAAAAGCAACGTAGGTGCCCATCTATATATAATAGTTAGTATGTGAAGCAATCAAAAATGTGTTTGTCATCAGGTCTGCTTACATCCGCGCCATATTCACCCACCAATCGCGCCAAAGGCCCGATATACCACACCTGCGCCATGCATAGGATTGCACCTGCCCAACCGATCAAGAAGGCGATGAAAGCGGAAATGCCCAAGGGCAGCTTGGATGGGTCGTTCCAGGCCTGCCAGTTGTATCCGCTGCGGGCGCGGAAGATAAAGCGGTCTTCTAGGATGATGGCTATCCAGATGGCGACCCAGTAACCCATGAGTGCGAGGAAGTTGGTGAAGATGTCGGAGAGATTGCTTCGGCCCGCTAGAGCGCACACGGTGTAAATGATTACTCCGATGGCGTTCCAGATGGCTCTGGGCACCTTTTCGGCATATCGTCCGAGGATCTGGAAATCTACGCCAGCTGAGTACGTGGGTGGGATGGTGTTGGCGATGAGGCCAAGGGCAACGACGACGGCGCAAAACTTGCCGAATCCGTTCAGGGGGCTGAACCCTTCGACGATAAGTGCTCCGGCACCGTCAGCGTATGCTGTGCTGTATGCTGGGTCGGTGGTGATGCCCGATGCGAGACCGATGCCGACGAGGAAAGCCATGGTGAAAGAGGTCATCAGGCCGCCCAAGGAGAGGAAAAAGAGAGATGTCCTCGAGGTATTCTGAGGATAATAGACAAAAAAGTCCGCTGCCAGCGGTGCATATGTAATTGCAGCACTGAGACAAAGCGAGAAGAAGGATAGACTGCGAGCGTGGCATGTAAGCATGAGTTTATTCAATGGTTTGAAGTGGACTTACCGGTTGCCGGCTACTGTGCGAGCGTCGCCAGTCGATGGTGTGGACAAGTCATATTTCGTCCCCGACATACCGAACAGTATGCAAACAACAATAAGCTGGGGGAGAAAGGCAAATCTGGTCCCGTCAGTCGCAGAGATTTACAACCCTGATCGGTCGTACATACCGCTCGTAGTAATGGAAAATCTGAATGCCGAAAGTGGCTATGACCCAACTGATGATGGCGATGATCACAATGCCTTCATACCGTCAATAACCATAAAACAATAGCTTGAAGCAATACCAACTTACCCACAGCAACCGTCATGTTTCCATGCGGTGAAACGGCGGACAAGATCTGGCCGCCAACCACGCAGTCGATCAAGCCATATCCCAGCATTTGAATCAGGTTCAAGATGACGATGAGTTTGCTGGGCCACCAACCCATTGAATAGCGTCCGAATGCCTGAAATTATAGTGCTTAGCCAACGTTCTTTCAAGAGACAGTGTGTGAAAGCATACCATGGTCCGAATACCAGAAATAGGGCCCCATGTGGCCATCCACGAGGACACGATGGCACCGACCAGAGCACCGAGTACTCCGCAAAGAGCCGAGTCAAGGAAGCTCAGTCCATACGTAGCAGGTCCCAGCATACCCAGTGTGATGTTGTTGGCCGCCAGATTGATCGAGACCCAAAGCAAGAAAGCCTGCAGGTAAGAAACCCAAGTCAACTTGGACATCCGTTCATGCTCTTGCACCCGCTCTATACCACGAGCTTCCAGGTTATATTCGACGAGTTGCTGTTCGAATCGTCTAAGATATGCAGCCATTCTCGAAGAGGCAAACGGGCCCCCAGGCTGCCTCTGGGCTCTTTTCTCGACATTTTCGGTAGGAGGAGAAGTATCTTCTGTCGAACGGATTCTTGAGATTTCTTTCTCATAGGGAGACCCTAGGGTGGGGACAGTTTGCGGCGAAGACATCCTGACGCACAATGTCAGTTACATAACCGGAGAAGAGGTGGGGTGTAAAGAGAAGAAAAGCGCGCATGAGTCCTTTCGCTGGAATTATCCAGATCAAGTTCAACCGTATAATCTCAGATCAACAAACGGGAGCCATCACAGTATCCGGCGAGTTAAGCAACCCTCCAGATATTCGCCCGGATAGTGTGTGTGACATCCAGTTGTTGAACACCGGTCTTCATGCAGGCACGCTACCTAGATACCTTGATCGA